TCCTCCGGCACCACGTAAGGTACATTACTCTCTCCTTCATTACCATTAACAGAGAAAGTTTAGTTTCTCTTTAACAACCGTAGTAAGCCGTTTGAACGCCTTCTTAGCGGTAACTCAAAATATTTTCGCCTATTTAATAATCCCTCCAGAAAGATGCACAGAGGACTCTGCACAGAAAAACAGGGAGAAAGAGATGGAAATTGGTTGTGAAACGCATGCAGTGAACGAGTTAAGTAAGGGCAGTCAGTCTCATGACTTTGTTGTGAGCTCAGGTTCGACTGAAAGACTCTTCAGGCGTGCGCACTCCGATTGCGTTGCATTGTGGTAGGTTCATTTTCAACATGGCGGTGAAAGTGGTAGAGATCGGCAGATTTTGACTGAACATTCCGTAAAAGTAAGGCCGTTCCTTTTTCCTTTCGCCATAGTTAAATGTAATTTTATTTATTCTGATTGTGTCTCGATGTCCTCAATGATCCGGATGAGACCATTGATTCTCTCCTGGAGCGGGTTAGTTTCAACAGAGGAAAGCATGTGGGAAGTTTTTTTCCTCATTCTGCAAAGGTGCTTAACGAGCGGAGTCATATAGGGTGGATCCCTTAATTGATGACATTCTAACCTTGATTGAAGGAAAACTGTCATTAAATATTGGTTGAAGAATGTTGTTCAATGATTAGACGCTTTCATCGGGGTCTTCCAAAGTGTTAAAATGCTCCAATCAAGTGCCGCTAGTTTTATATCCATGTCGACTTTGCGATGTTCACAAACATCTCTGAAGCTGACATATTTTCTCTCAGGCTTGGCAGGGGTAACGGGCAACAACGTAACAGCCAGGTGATCAGACCTTGCAACGCCTTTGAATACTTTTGCTTGTTGCCATAGAAGCGGATAGTTCGTAAGAAATACATCCAAAATACTATGGCCAATTGTGGACTTCGTGAGAGTATTTTCTTTTGATTTCAGCAAGACTTTCGACTGTCTCGCACTATATAGTTTGCGTTAAATGAAGGCCATGGACGTCAATCCTTATATTACCAATTGGATGATAAGTTTTTTAACTAAAAGGCAACAACGGGTTGTTGTAGATGGGAAGTCTACAGAGTTTGCCAGCTTTAATAGGGGTGTTCCTCAAGGAACTGTATTGGGGCCCATTTTATTCTCTATAATGATTAATGATATCACTGCTGTACATCCCGGAAGTAATCTGCTTCTTAAATATGCAGATGACTTGACATTTAGCGTTCCAGTCAAGTCAACAGTCCCCAACTCTCTCGCGATGCAAGAGGTGGGGAACATTCAACAATGGGCCTGTAAGAGCAGGATGAAACTTAACCTAAGCAAGACCTGGGAAATATTATAAAGAGGGAAAACAACCAAACAGGTACGTGATGCGTTACCCTCAATTGTAGGGAAGCCCGCTGAACTTTAATTGTTAGGTGTAACCTTCAATCAAGACCCATGTAACTGGGACACTCATTTTGATCTTCTGCTAGCCAGTTCTAGAATTATACATAATGAGGGTTTGTAAATTTTATGGTTATACGCAGGAGGAATTGACGGCCCTTTTTAATAGCTTAATTATGTCATTATTCGAATCGAGTGAAGATGGTAGACAGTCAGCCCTCGGAGCATACATACCTAACTAACCATTCAATTGGGTGGGATAATTCTAAAATTATCACCACTAATCGGCGTTACCACCAGCGCCTTTGTTTGGAGGCTTGGCATATTAACTCCGCCGACGCTCTTTTAAATCGTGACGATGGCGGTTTGCTTCCTGACGCCTATTTACACCTCGTCAGGAAAAAGGCCGCTAATTAGTGATCGCAGCGTTTAGATCACCCCTGATGAAGGCACTAGACAGGAGTGTCGAAACGTTGGGTCTCTGAATTGTAACTTCTTCGGTTACATTCATTAAATCTGCAAACCAGAGTAGCATCAAACTATGTCTGATTGTCCACCTGGTTGCCGTGTGAACTTAAATATATTCTGTAAACGTGCCCAAAAATATGGTTATTTATTGAATTTCACACCCATTAAAGATATTGTTCGTGTCAGAGATAAATTGTTATGGAAACAGATCACGAAAGAGTGCGATCATTGTCTACGTGACCTATACTTCCCATGCAGAGGGGAAGGTTGCTCCGTTCTTGCGGCCATAACTACATTTTACCTCGTATTCGTATGGATCGTTTTAAGCGAATTTTTATTAACAGATGTCTTTTTAGTTTTATTTAGATTACAACTAGTTTCTCTTTCGTGATGAATATTTGTAGACCTTGCACGCTTGTTTGCAGGCATATGTTGTTGTGTAATTAATAAAGGCTACATACATATATAAGGGTTAGTTTTAAGGTGTCATTTCCCTGCTTGTATGTTTCTGAGGTTTGTCAAAGCTGGTTGAGATTGTGTTACAAAAGTTAATAATTTCATGCTAGCGCACTATTTTTTTTTTCGTTTTCAAGTACACTGTCTCTCCCGCAGAAAATAACTCTAGATATACGTTTCTCAAAATTTATTTTAGGTACCCTCTATCCTTTAAGCATATTTGAAACTCTGTACGTTTTTTCATTAACGTTGAGCGTGAGGAATTTGGTCTTAGACGAGTAAGGCTTCTCCTTTCGCGAATCCCGTATTTACACCGTTAAGTGTGTGACATGAAAAATAGTTCGTGTATTAGAAGGTCGCTGTCTCTTTGTAATGCGTTTGCACGTCAAGGGTCGATTCCCCGTTCAATAACCCGCGAATTTATATTATTCACATAGCCATCGGCTGTGAGTGTAACTGCTGCCCAATGTATAGATTCTTAGGCAAGGCTGCAGTTTCGATTCTTTCTGAATCTCTCCAGTAGCCTCCTAAGAACGAATTTGACTAATTTGTTAGTTACTGGCGTACAATCTTACATATAAACACTATAGACTGAAAGAAATTACGTCATTAGTTACTGGCGTAAAATCTTATATCCTGTCAGCAGAGATGTTCTCTCGACGCAGGACTTAATGACCATGATGCAACGCAATCAGAGAGCGCACACCGCCTGGTTATTAATGAAGGTTCGTCATGATGGAGACAGTGCGGTTTGGCAAAGTTGATTTTGCCGTGTTTGGAATTATGTTACTTCAGTCGACCGCCATTGGAATATACCATGCTTTAGCCGGAGGAGAGCAGAGAACAACGAAGGAATTTCTCTTCGCGAACCGCGGCATGATGGCGATACCTGTAGCGCTGTCTTTGATCGCATCATTCATGTCAGCTATCACAATTCTTGGTGTACCTGCAGAAATTTACATCTATAGTACACAATACTGGCTTCTCTTTCCATCTGTGGCGCTGTTTTTCGTTCCCGTTTTTCGCGCTGAATATATCTCTTCCTCTTATAAGGTAAGTGATCATAAGTGAAAACAACTGCCGATTATCAACAAGAATATTGTGAGGGCGCCTTTTAAGTCATTGTGTTCTAATTGTTTCTTTTTCTTTTAATAGTCTTTTGGTTAGCGCCGTGGTTACCGGTTACCTCGCCACCAGGGAGACTCGCCACCAGCGAACTCGCCACCAAGGAACGATCTCGCCACCAACCTACTCGCCCCCAAGCGAAGTCTTCTCGCCACCAACCACCAATAAAGAGATAAACTAGAATAAAGTAGTCGAGGAGGGTAGGATGTTCGAACGAGCACAATTCAAATCGGCCGATACGTTTGTGCGCTTGTCTGTATTTAAATTATGACCTTTAGCGACGTGTTAGATGTGTTCCGTTCCTAACTCATTGACATCGAAACGTATCGTGTTTGTCTTTTGCACGTAAGCGAGGAGAAATTGCAAAACTCGATGCGAGGAATAAAAACTTACTTGAGAGGAAATGAAACTTCATGGGAAGAAATAAGTGATGAAATGAAACTCGATAGCAGTTGTATTAAAACTAGATGCGAGAAATTGTCAAGTCGGTGCGAGAAATTGTAAGCGTCGATGGACTGAAGCTTTCCTAAGGCAACTACAGTTGTTTCCCAAGGAGAGTTAACAGTTCGAACCAATCGATTCCTGAGTTTGTTTGCTTATTTGTATGAAAATTTCGACGTCTGTGATGTTATAAGTTCGAACGAATCGACTCACGAGTTTGTTTACTTATCTGTATGCAAAATTCGACGTCTGTGATGTTGTCAAGGGAACTTATTCAATATTCGGTCGAATTATATTACCCAGTTTCCCCGCGGCAAAATAACAACTCCGCTTTTCTTCAGTTTTGAACGTGCTATCGACAACATACGTTTATAAAGTTTGAGTACAGA